ACATCATTGAAGGTCTACTTTCCTTCGTATCACCAGCTTGAGTTCATGACTGCTTGAGGGCTTGCGACCCTATAGCCGGCAACCATTGGCCGCCGCAAGATCCCTGCACAAACCGCTTTCCTTTATGCTTCCACTCAAGCTACCCTACATGAGTTCATGTCTGCTGGACGGCTTAAAACCCCGGAGCCGACAACCACTGGCCACCGCAAAATCTCTGCACGAACGCACTCCTATCGGTCCTACAAGTGTCGGCTTCGAGTCCAACCAGCCTGGCTGCGGGCCTCGTCGTCGGTCAAGCAAACACGGATGACTGCGGTGTCTGGAGCTTCGGCCTCGAAAGGCAACAGCTTGAAACATCAGAGCCAGAACACCAAAAGCATCTAGTTCCTCGCGATGGTCGTTGTATGTCGTTGTTGTGGGCTTGGGCTGAAGCGTCCCTAAACCACGGAAGCCTGCATGAGGCCCTCCCGGAGAAAAAATAACCCTGTTGCATCCTTTGGCTCAGCAGCACAGGCCTCTTCTGGCTTTTCTGGCAAAATGCCATTACCTGCAGCCACCTGGCACTCACATGAAGAAGCTATGGGACTTGGCTGCTGTGTAAGCGAGTCAGAAAGACCCCGGCAGCCGCAGGTTCAGGCTCTGGCGAGCTGCTGACGGAAACACGGCGGAGGGGAGTGACTAAGCGTATGCCCCCGGACCGTAAGAGCGCCACGCGCTGCAACATCCGTCATAGCCACTCGAGCCACTTTTTGGCAGAATTCGGCAACACGTACAGGCGAGCAACTGTCAGAACCGTGACTGACAGCCAGTCTCTCCGAAGATATGCCAACACGCTCTGTTACTACCAATTCCGTTATTACTACCAATCGTGCTACTACCAATCCCGCGCTGTTACTGAAAAGGTTTCCCACATGTCAAGCTTATTTGCAGCCGAGGCTCTGCATCCTCGCGACTTCGAGCATACTTGCTGGCGCAGGTGACGACAATGTACAGGTTCAGGAGGCTGTCCTGTGAGTCTGTACACATCCAAGAACTTTTGAATCTAGATCTTGTTGAGATGGCGCAGTTGCCCTCTTCTTCCAAGCTGTCAAGAGGAGCAAGGAGCACCAAGGAGCAACGCATCCCCCCGCGCGAGTCCGCACCGGCGCGCCCTCTCCTCTCCCGCCTAAAACTAACTCTCTCTCTCTCTCTCTCTCTCTCTCTCTCTCTCTCTTCAGTTTCTCTCTCTCCCATACGGGCCCTTCACCTGTCAGCCGCGATGCAGACCGCAGCGGTTTTGCCATGCTGTACATACAACTTTCTGAGGAAAGTCCAATCAATGCCCGCGTCTACAACGACCTCACCCAATCGTCTTGATTTTGCCCGACACTGATTTCAAGCATCTTCTGTAAGCCATGGGTTTGCACGACCATGCCAGTTTCATACCATAAACAACTACTGTGCCAGTAAACACGACTGAATGCCAGGTCGAGCGCCCGTCGAAGTAGCGAAGAAATCAATCTAATGACGCTGCCAAGCAGCATCGCCCCAAAGATACTCTGTAACGTAGATAAGCCTCGCCTCACAGTGGCTCCGTTGCACGCAACCAAAGACGAAAAATTTCGCAGTGAGCCGACATTGGCAGTGTGGGAACCTACGACCTACGAAGCACCAGAACAAGCATGGCAGTATCACAATTAGCTGCGCATCGTCCTGTCAGCAGTATTACAGCGGCAGTCTTGATAATGAGCCAGGCATCGATCGCATCATCCGTGATGCGGGCATTGCGCATGACGTACAGCAGACAGTCCACTCCGTGCCTTGCAAAAGACGACTAGACAGAATCGTCGCAATCTTCCGCAGTGCCATGACACCACATCCCAGTCTTCTAACTCTCTCCAAATCCCACGGACTAGCAGTGACTAGCATTCCAAAGGCGGAATTCTAGATGTTCGTCCACCCGAGTTCCCTAACAGCGGCTTATCCTGATCGACCTCAGGAATCTCAGTGCAAGAAGTGTTTTCAGCTCGCCCGGACGGCTGCCAGGCTGCAGCGCAGAGAGCGCCACGTCCCTGATGCTGGCAACCACCTGTGCTTCCCGCACAAGCATGGAACATCGTAGAACTATCGGGTGCTGTCTACGAGCTTACGGACGTTTTTGCAAACCTGGAATCCTCATTGACACCTCAAGAAGCCGGAATGACCTTGTCTTGGTCGATCTCCGTGTCTCCCAAGCCGATGGTGTCAAGGACGACCAAGGAGTCGTCCTCGGCTTCGTACCTCAGTCGGCATCCAGCAGCTCATAGTGTCGTAGGCCCAGGTTCGGGGCCTGGGGTTGATGTAACTCAAGCTTTCCTGAAACCTTGCAAGCAAGCGAAGGGTGTCGAACTTGCTGTCAGGCTGCTTCATGATGGAATCCAGGTTCGTGATCTCAGTTTGCGGATTCGTTTTCAACATGTAGGGAGAGGCTCTCCGTCCGATACAGCTTCGCTTAAGTTTAGGCAGGTCACACTTGAGGTGTCGTCACCTGAAAGAGGCACTGCACGTGCAGACAACCACAGGCAAGCCCCGCTTTCCCCGCCGCACCTGAATCAAATATTTGTGATCCAGCAATGAGGTTCCCGAGAGCACTCTTGCCGGCTCCAGTCATCCCGAACATCATTACCTGAGTCGCGTGCACACACCTCGTGCCAGCCCGAAATTCTCTCTCCTGGCGGTTTTGATCTCGTGCTCGGGGCCCAGCCCCGAGCTTCTCTCCAGGGCCAAACTCGACGCCGAAGAAGCAATGTGCAAGAGGTGACAAAGCAAGAAAGCGCACTAAGAGAAGTCAATGCCACCACTCACAGTGCTCGAGGATATGTCCGAGCTGCATCCCCGAAGAGAGCGACGTGCTGGACACGGTAGCCATGACATCGACCCAGACATTCTGTGATGTTGGAAGGAATCGGACGAGGACACTGACGACGCGTGGACCAAGCCACACAAGGGAACGTAAGAGACCGCAACCCTAATTTGCTTCCCCTCTTGCCAGTTGCCAGCAGCGCACGCACGTTCTTGTTCGAATGCAAAGAACCCTCCACAGGGCAGGCAAGAGAACCGTAACTGTGGCGCTGGTGCAGGAGCAGGTGCTTCAGGTGGCGGCGGTGGTAGGTTTGATGGCAGTGGGGACAAGCCTTAATGGCCCCTCGTTCCTGCATTGTTGTTCTTGCTTCGTCCATGTTTTGGCCCCACATGGCAACCCAAGCTTCCTCCTGTTCTTATTGACTTCACTCGGCACTAGCGGGCCGATGTATCATTCTTGCCTGTTTAGACGACTACCACCACCACCGCCGCCACCACCACCACCACCACCGCCGCCAAACTGCTACTGCTACCTTTGCTGCTCCTGTTTTGCTGTTGCTGCCACTATTCTCTAATTCAATACTGCGGGTACATGTCACACGCGAAGTCTTTTTTTGCCCTTGCAACACATCCCCTAGTGTCGGAGGCTAAACAAAATTGTGTACTCTGTGGTTCTCTACGGTCTCTTTAGCTAGGGCATTCGGGCACTGTTCCAACTTTAAGGCAAATGCTGTTGTAGCCCACAAGGCACTGAGGTCTCGGCTGTGAGCTTCCCCCCGGGGGGCAGCACCCAAGGCATCTTCCGCTCAACAGCTGGCAAGGCCTTGACCTCCCCTGGCTTCGTCATGGGGAGGACCTGCAGCTCTCTCACTGCATACGCACACATAGATCTTATTAGATGCATGCATACATACATACGTGCGTTTGAACCCAGTCATAGACGTATGCATACATCCCACATGGCGAAACTAAATCAATCTCGGCACGAGGGATTCAAGGCTGTGTTTAGTGCATGCAGGCAGGCCCGGGCTGGCTTAACATGTGAGGAGACTTCAGGATGGTTCGGTTCCGGCTTCGGCAGCCGATGCCGATATCCTGGCGCACGAATGCCCCATCCACACCTCGCATCCTTTCGAGTCTCGGTTGTTAGCCTCGGACTGGCCCAGCCAAGTTCGTGGATCAGAGCCCGAAAGGCCGCACGCCCATGTAGCCGGTGTTAATGCTTTTCCCCAGATTCCGGACAATAATATGAAGAGTTGCAGGCCGCGTCATGTGTCATGCATGTCGAGCTTGGAAGCTACCAAAGTTTCAAGGCCCGAAACACTTCGGCTTTCACAATTTGAGGCTTATGCCGAGCCCTACAAGCTCCAAGATTGACGGCCTTGGCATCCGCTGTGGTGCTGAGTGGTTCCGTCTTCTCCTCTCAAGAAAGCATGCAGCAGCGCTCGGATGGCGCATTGCGCAGGATGAAGCTATGACGTGAGAGCGCAGGCTCGGTCTCCTGGGCTATGGCGTGCACCTCCCCCTCACCGGGGGCATCTTGGGCAGCCACATCCTCGAAAGGTCCGCGTGTGTCGGTGAGCCAGCAATTTCTAATGTCATACTAGTAAGCTTTGCATGAGGCCTGCCATGAGATTTCACGACCTACACTTGCGGAAGCCGGGGCCGCTCAGCAGGCGGGTGTGGCACTTTGGCTAAGCAAGACAAACCACACAGCACCACCCTTGAAAGGACCCATCTGCAGCTATGAGCCCCGTGATGGTGCCTTGATCTCGCGGCAGGGGCATCGCTGGCCCATGGCGACCGAAAGGAAGGCCCAAGCAATCTGCTGCCAAGATAAAGAAGTGTCTGTTGAAGGGTGTGGAGGTCTGGGACACTCTCAGGTCCACGGCATGGCCAAGGTGGTAAGCTACTTTGTAAAGGAGGGGTTCATGGCTCATGGCTTTCCTTAACTACCAAGCTTGCACTCGGAAAAGGGAGCAGTTCAATTGTCATGTCTGGTTTCTGAGCCATGCCGATATAGCAAAGCCAGAATACGTCTGCACTTCGGCCAAAGAACTCCCTGCAACTCGGGGACCAAACACAATGGGGGCGAGGTTTTGGACTTCAGGGTTCGGTTGAAGGTCGGCTACGGGCTGAAACAAGTGGGTGATTGACAGCTCCACACTTCTCCCATGATCCTCGCCGGCACCAGTCGTCGATGACGACCCTGGGGCTCTGCCTGCGCACCCTGCGGGCGAACCATGGCACCAGGCCTCGAAGCGGAAAGCAAAAGAAAACTCTACAAGCCAAGGCCCTGAGCTGAGGTGCTCCGAGGATCCAGCTCGTGAGCTCGACGCTTCGAGGACGGGGGCACGCCCACCTGGCGTTTTGAGTTCTCCTTCTCTTTTCGAAGCGCGAAGCATGCGAAGATTTTTTGGAGGCCTCCTGCTCAACGGCCGCCAAAGCCTGGAAGGAAGAGATTCTTCAGTTCTGAGATTCCGCGGCTTCTGAGGGAAAAGGCCAAGGCCTGAAATAACTTCGAGGGCATCGAAAGGCTGGTGCCCGACAGAGTTTTCTCGCAGCTGCGGTTCGACCTGGGCCAGGAGTCATGGGCCGGTCTGAACCGGATTTGCGTCTTTTCTGGGGCACCCACACATCGCAGATCTCTGCAGGAGACCTTGGAAACACCTGGCGAACACAACAATCAAGGACCTCAATTCCTTGCAGGAACTTGTTCCAGAATTGCTACACCCACTGGCAACGGAACCCGCACGGTTTTGGCTCCAGGGCTTGGTAAACTCTCGGGCGAATTCAGCTTCTCATCGGCGCACGACGGAAAAGCATCGGCGAGCCCGTCTTCGAGCACATCTTCTCTCCGCCGAAATCCAGCAGTCTCAATTGCGGCGGTCGCCCAAGAGCTGCAGCAAGAACAAAAAGAGCTGAATGATGTCGACATAGATGTTGATCGCCTAGCGAATGCAAGACTTGCCACAACAAGTGACACAGGATACGTTGAGCCGGGCTGCTGCCATGCAGTAGTCGTCAATGCTGAACCTGCACCAGAAAACGGATGGCAATGGCGGATGACGCGGCTCAACGGGCCCTGGTCAGTCTAAAAAGTTTGCAGGCGCTTGCACAAAAAATACGCCCTCCGTCTTAAAGTTCTTTCAGACCGAATGGCAGGCTTGCTTCCATACCAAGCTTCAAGTCGCTCAGGTGCTCATGCCCTTGGAACTTTCCGCCACTCGCACCCGCAAAGTGTGGCCACGCGTCAAGAGATGCTTGCAATGAGGCCCTGTTGAGAAGCGAGCTCCGATGCGTGGGTCGCTGAGATCAAAACACTGCTATGACCAGGTTATGACTACGTGAAGCATGCGTGCCCTAGCAGTATTGGGTTCAACCGGGCCGGCCTGAACTTGTTGTGCTTCCCTCCCACAATCAACTGGGTATCGAAGATGATGTAAAACGAGAAGATTATCGCGCCAAGACCAGCATAGATCATGTTCCTTGTGTACATGACAGGGCAGTCTGAGAGAGGTAAAGAAAGACACGCGAGATAGAGATAGAGAAAGAGCAAAAGAAGAACAAGCACCGCTTAAACTCGTCGAGCATGCCTACAAAACTCGGATCCTACCGAGTCGCAACACCTTGAAGGCGCCAGTGCTCAGGGCTCCCGTCCAGGCGAAAATGGACATCACGAGGCCGAACAAGCAGAGGCTGCATACCAGGGCAAACAGGTAGGGCATGAAGCCGGTAAAGTCGTACCTGTCCCCGCCGATTGCAAGACGGGCCTGATCATTTTCAAACCGCACTGCACCCTTCTGCCGTACTTGCCACGAAGGGGCGTTGTCTGAAGGGCAAATAGAGAAAGAGCCAGCACCAGCGCAGCCTCTGTGTGCAGCAGCAATGGCCGCAAACTTAACAACATCGAAGCATGTCGTAGATGACGCTTTACCACGCCGCGGGGCAGTGATGCCCAGGGTCACGAGCACAGACTGGACCGTGTACTGGACACAGATGAAACCTGCGGCGACATAAAAAGCAATCCTGGAATGGAAAGGGAAACGCTAAACATGTTACATGCGGAGCTTCCTTGCCCAGATAGGCTGACATCCTCTGCCGCTCTAACATCTCTAACGGAGCGTGCAATGGCAATGGCAACGTGATGCAACAGGCCTACCATGACAGACTCGGCCACTGTGAAGCAAAGGAGCCTCAGCTGCGCCCACCCGAGCATTCAAGCGGCCGCCAAATGCAAAGGCAAGGGACAGCAAGTAGTTCGTTGGCGATTTTCGCATAGTGTCAGGGCAGCAGATGAAGACGCACATCGTGCCTTGGCGGCCGACAAGCCGTAACACAAGAGATCGCAATGGAAACGCAGTTCGAAGTTTGGAGAGAATCCATTGGTGATGGCTGTGCCACATGACAATAATATCTACGAGTTTCCCGCATGTCGGCGTATCTTGCCGCCACATAGGAACATACCGACTTTGCAAGTGCGACACACTGCAGCACATGCTGGGTGCCCAGCTGATTGACATGACCTTCAGCTTGTCAGTGGGAAAGCTTCGCACAGCCAGCATACTGTGCATTTTGCTGAACTGTTCAAAAGGATGCGACCATTGAGACGACCATCAGGGAGGTCACCAAAGCCGGGTTGTACTTCACCTCTGTCAAAGCTCTCACAGATGAGCCAAAAGAATTCATCCAAGGCTTTGGCCAAATGCTCACCGTAGATGGTGATCAAACCTGCTGTGAAGGCTAGTTGGCGCAGCCGTCACAGCAAATCGGCAAATCAATGGCGGTGCTTGAGCTAGGTCGTGCCCTCGGAGACAGATCTTCGAAACTCCCTCACTGGTACCGTCAACAGGAAGTCTTCGTACTGCTCGGGCCATCGTTCAACTTGCAGAGCTACACTGCGGTTACACGCCAGTCTCGGGGAGTGGCTCGCAATGATCGTCGTAACGACCATCTGAGCGCCGAGGATGCCATAGACCTTCCGGATGAAGCCTCGCGAGGCGTGCACACACACGCAGAAACGTGGCCGCAAACGGAAAGGGTCTTTGAGGAACTGCTGCACTGCTTCGAAGCGAGTGGCCCATGCGGACATCCACGTCTCGGATTCCGGCCAGCATGGCAGGGCCTGAAAGAAACTCTTTGTGCGACAGTGTGGCCTTAGCCTGACGTCGACAATCTGCGGCTGCGAGGACGGAATTGTCCGACAACTTACACATGCCTCGAATGGTGGAACTTTTCAACTTGTGCGCAAGATCAAATGCTTTTTCGTGACATCCTGACATTGCCCAGGGCCTCCTGTCAGGCCACTTTGCTCAGTGGCTGCCATGACCTCGAGCTGCTGTGAGATCACTTTTGGGAGGGCGCTTCAGAAACATCCCAGAAACCGAGCCTAGTCGGATGCAGATTGGGTTCGCTATCTGGTAGTTCTAATGGAGTGCTGTCGGTGCACTTTTGAGCACATCTGGCTGCGCAGGAATGCAGACAGCCTGCAACTTCGAGCAACAGATGAAATCCACACGCTTCGCAGTGGTTGCACCGCGAGAGTTGCAACGACTCCCTTCATTCCAACATGCATCGCGCACGAGGAACGGCAGGCAAAGCCTGGGCATGCTCACGGCGCTGCACGGCAGAGGAGCATCGCTGCTCGGCTTATCTCGGCTCCCGGCACTGCCGTCCAACGCATCTCGTGCACGGCATGGGAGCTGGAGCACTGGAGGTGATGCTAAGGATTCGTTATGGCATCAGGAATCAGGACGGTGCTTCTAGGCCACGCCGGTGAATGTGGCTCGGAGAATGGGCCTCTAAGGCTCTAAGGTTGATCTATTCCACGGCGGCTCATGCTGATCCAGAGTCAGAAAGCTGGGCCATGGAGCCCCGCAGTTGCGGTGAAGCTCCTGCCTGCGTCCGCACTCGTCACGACTCTGAGAGATTGCTATCTAACGCACGCAGACGAATCGAAGGCCCGAGGCAGACAAGGTCCGGCTTTCTTTTGAATCCACGGCCCTCCGGGCCAAGAGAGAGGCTCAATGTTCCTTGGGCCCAAAGCCTCTCCCCTAGGCCTTCAAAGTCTGGCGTAGGGATCAGGCGTAATGAAACCCAAAGGCGGGTCAAGCACCCAGATTCCGTCTCGGCCCGGGCTGTGGCGGTGCTCCAAAAAGGAGCAGGAAGCCAACACTGGCGACAGCATTGCCTACTTGTGGATGCTAGATTCTGCCAGATAGACAAGCACGATCTTGTTGTTTCCTGCCTTACGAGAAGATGCTGACAGGCTTATGCGTCAGATCCGTCTTCGGACAAGCCGTCAAACACATGGGATATCCGAGGCTGACTTCTGCCACGTACTGGTTGCGAAGCTGCTTGGTGTTCCTGACTCGAGAGAAGATACGGCAAGTCCCAAATACGAGGGCTCCAGGCTGCCAAGACTCGGGAAGTACGTCCATTTGCTCCAGTCTCCAGCCTTTCCAACGAACACAGCGCCGGACTTGTCCCCCGCCAAAGGCTTCATCCTGGTCACTGGCACATCGTCTGGCCGCGCGAGCAAAGTGTGCGTCGGAACCCAACAAAGAAAGTGCACAACTTGCCACTCTGGCAGTGACAGTCAAAGACGAAGTCATCCGAGGGGCACGGCTTTCGAGGTGAATTCTACCAGCGCGTTACGGACCCGGGTGTAGTCATTCAGAAACAGCTGCTCCGGTTTCGTGGAATCGCCTTGGAGCAGACAAACCTGCCTTCACAGCCAAACACTGCACTGAGGGCAAAGCCCGGAATTCGTGCTGAGGCTAGTGCAGATCTCCAAGGTCACGGCTCCCAGTGCGCCCGGGCCACTGGCACAAAGGCCTGCAAGCGGAAACCGCCCAACCCCACTATAAAACCCATCTTTGCCACTGCCTGACTCATGCTTCAACTGGTAGGAGGGAAGCAACTCCCATGCCTGCTCCTGCAAGCGACAAGCCCGGCAAAAAGCCTCGTGCTGTCACGGCAGATCACGGCCACTCCTCCAGGTGGTAGCCGTTGCGGGTACAGGGCTCTGATGTCAGCACCGTGCCAGGCATTGGTACAAAGCAGCTTGCTGGGACCACGTGGTTCACCTGCGCCATCTTCGGAGTAAGCCGGCCCGGCATCCCGGCATCGACAAGAGAGGCGGGCTTTGGCCTTGGAGACGGAGAAGTTCCGGAACTCAATGGGGAACCACCCGTTGGCTCCAATGGCGGCGAAGCCTCGCGGGTGGTTCAGCCACACGTGTGA